ATATTTTAGGAGCTCTCTATAAAATTTCAACTCCAACCATACTCCTTAGTTTAAAAAGTCATAAATAGTTTTTATATTTTTTAATAAAGTGTTGACACAAAAGCAACAACAAAAAATAGTTTGCATTAAACTATAGGAAGCCACTAGGAGCCATTTCTCTCTCATTAGAAATAGAGGTCTCCCTATTTTAGGAGATGGACATGGAGCATGATTGAAGTTGTATTTTTTCAATTCCTCCATAAACTTTGTTTAATTAGGTGTTTTAAGGAGTCCATTCTAGATGCTCTCATTTGGTTCATGGGAAAGGAGACTTGGGGATGGAAAATCAATTGTTTTCCCATGTTTGGCAAATCTAGGTTTGGGAAATGGTTGCCTTGCATATGGGAAAGTAGGGGAAAGTGAAGCCCTCCTCCCCCCTTTAGGTTTTGTTTTCCTCCTCATGGGAAAGTTTGGGAAAATTAGCCAAATATAGCAATAAATGCATTTTTTTAAATTTGATTTTATATAGGTATAATTGGAAAATTAAACAAACTTTGTTTTACTCCACGAGCCGCAAACAAAACATGTGAAAGGAAATAAAGTGGTATTTCGTGGTTACTTTCTCAGGATTATCAAACATAGGAAATGAATCTTCCATTTCCCACCCTTTGGAAAAGACATGGAAAATGATTTCCCATCTCTGTGAACCAAACATGTAAGATTGAATTGTTGGTTCGTGGAGTAAGAGGTTACTTCCCCTAAGAGATATATTTGTTGTTTCATATTATACTTGGGGTAAGACATTTACATATAAACATGTTGTTTTAGATTATAGTTGGTGGATTAGACTCATATATTAATGATAACAGTTCATTAGATAATGTACCAAGTGGTTCAGTATAGTCACATAATCATGACAATGTTTTACAAGATTCTCTCCCTTATGGTATGGGAGGAGTAGGTAGTGTGTCATCATCATCCTACATATGACAGTCATAGTCAATCTAAATCCAGGAATTTGTTTATTGGTCAATATGTTCACATTGCATTCTCGTTTGGAATTCAGACAGAGAGGGACATATGAGTGTTGATATGAGCACATTAATACAAAAAATTATATATGAAATATGGAACTCTGTCTCAACTCCATTTGAGAACGCAGCGTGAACATATTGGTAGTCATAGGATGATGATGATTCACACACTACCTACCCTCTCGTAGGAAAGGGGGGAGAATTTTGTAAAATCCTGTCATGATTATCCGACTGTATTGAAACACTTGGTACATTATCTAATGAACTGTTATCATTAATATATGAGTCTAATCCACCAACTGTATTTTACGCCTTCACAAAGATTACATGGTTCAAAATAAGTGCGAATCTCATTCATGAATTATGAATTATAAAGGATTTGGTGTGCATGTAAATGGTAGTACTTTAAAGACAATATATTTCATATTTTGTGTTTTTGCACTTTTGATTTCAATTGGTTAAATGAGGTTTTTTTTTTTTTTTTTTTTAAAGTCACATTGGTTGAATGAGGTATTGGAGTAAATTAAGTGATACAAACAAGTAGTTGATTCCTTTCATCTTGTGATTTTGTTCTGAATCATTTTCACCTTATCTTGTCGATTTCTTTTGCTACCCTAAAAGAAAAGGCTTTTGGAATCTTTTCGCTCCAATTTTCTATCATCTGAGAGAAATAATTAATGGCGTGATCTAGTTGTCCGGCAAATTTCTCACGAAGATCTTAGGTTGCAATATGACAAGTGTTGTTGTGACACTACACATCATATTTGCACTGATGTAATTTGAATGGCGATTTCAATATAAAAGGAATGTCAAGGAAACTACAATATTGCCAAGTTATAAAAAACAAATACCTCAATATGATTTATGAATAGTACAATTCCATAGAGCAAACTAATTTATGCCATATATATCACAAAAATGTTGAAGTTAAATTTTTAACTGCTTGCAACTGAAAAGTACATGAATTTTATTTTTAATTTTTGGGCCAGATTATCTAAATTGCACTTAAAAATTAAAGGAGATTCACTATTATACCCAATATAGGAGTCCAAATTATAAAAAACCATATATGAAATGGACTTTAAAAACACACCAAAAGCGCATTTACAACATAACGAAAATGTTTTTACCTTCTTTTAAGTTACAAAACTGCCATTGATTTCTTAAAAATAAAAAATCCCAAAACACTCAATAGGGCAACAAAGTAATATAATAATCAAAATTAAATTCAATAGGCCAGCTGTCATTTTGTGGGTTTGTTTATAGAAATTAAATGGTGCAATGTGGTTTTATTTATATTATTAGTGCTAAAAATGGATATATGACTAAATATCTCAAAAATTAACACATTCATTCAGTTTTGGTTATTTTTAGTAAAGGTCTCCAACATTCCGACGGGTTAATTGATGAGAGAGATAAATTGTATGACATAAAACTATTAAGCATATGTTTGGGTTTATTTTTGCATAGATAGATTTAATTCAATTTTTATGTACAATTATTTTAGCATAACACAGAGATACGAACAAAGAAGAAACCATATAAATTGACAAATATAATATATCAAACAATTCATTGAGAATTTGTTTTATTTTTTTGTTGGTATGTTTGATTAAAATCCTTTATACATATTATTTATAGGTTATGTTTTATTATGTCGTATCACAATCGAAACCCCAAGAGAACAAAGAATTTGTGGTTTTTGTTTGTTAAGCTTTTATTTATTTATAGAGATGCCCCCGCCGATACCGGAAGCGATAATAAAAGTAGGAATGCTGTCACTAGAACGGACCACACAAATAGGTGTGATCTATGCATAGTCATTCCAGGTCCACGCATGTTGGAGATAGTTGTTATAAAATTGATATAACCTAAAATGGACCATTTGAGAGTAATGCTCATTATTTCCTCGTGACTAGGAGTATATTTTCATGTCTATTAATGAAATTCATTGGTGTTGTCGAGTTTAGTATGTAAGTTTTGCCTAGTCGGCTTTCAAATCCTGAATCCGCCACTGAACTAGACAATTGCTGTGTGAAAAATGGACCATTTGAGAGTAATGCTCATTATTTCCTCGTGACTAGGAGTATATTTTCATGTCTATTAATGAAATTCATTGGTGCTGTCGAGTTTAGTATGTAAGTTTTGCCTAGTCGGCTTTCAAATCCTGAATCCGCCACTGAACTAGACAATTGCTGTGTGAAAATGATACTCTTATGCACCAAGAATAAGGGCTGCGTCAAGCATTAGCAACCAACAAGAATTCTATAGCGAAGACCTTATATATGATCCTTAGGTGAAACCCTATCTCTTAACCGTTGGATAAAATTAGTTAGTCATTGAATCAAATTAGTTAGTCTAATCCAATAATAAAAAAACAAGACTTTTCCTATGAGCCATATATAAGTCCCCCACTATAGCAACTAAGGGTCTACGAAACCAAAAGTCCATCTGGAGGCCCACGCACACAACAAGAAGAACCATGTAAATTGCAATAAACAGGCCAAAAGAATCGAAAATTACCTGCATTTGAAACGTAAGCGTTTTTCTATTTGGAAATGTTGGAATGAGCCAAACTTTTTTTTTATTGATACGGTGGGTTGGGCTTAATATAATAAAATAAATTGAAATAATGCATTAAAATTATAAAAACAAACATAACAGAGAAGTTAAATAACAATTTTTTTTTCTTTGCCAAATTCCTAACTTAATCGGCACATATAGTACCTTTTTTCTTCTTTTTTTTCGTTTTCTGTAGCGACATGGGTGGAAGGCGGCGAAAACACCCAGCTTACTAGAACGCATTTGGCGGAAAAGAATTTATGAGAAATTAATTATTATGGGAAATGATCCATTTCCCTTATTTAGTAAATCTAAGAAAATAAACAAAAAAATCATTTTATTTATTCTCTCATATTTGGCTCTTCCATAATTTTCATATATATATATTTTGCATTCTAAGTTTAATGTTTTGTTTTCTGTAAAAATAAAGAAAGTGCCAACCAAATTAGGTTGGGACGTTACGTACACCGACCGACCACGAACGTGGGAATGAATGCGGGATGCGGTAAAATGCAAATGCAATACTTCAACACTAAAAAAAAACACAACACAATGCATCCCATAATTGGCAAATTTTTTAGGTGTGGTGCCATAATCTATTGTTGGTCAAAACGCATGGTCGTATGGTGCATACGAGGATACAACTAGAAATGATAATAAACATAATTTTTTTTAATACAAGTAATATTAATTTAAATTGTCGGAATGGGTATTTGAACTTGGCATAAAGTAGGGGACCACATTCCCTTTAGCGTTGGCTAAGCAATAATAAACATATAATTAGACCACAAAGTCCTTCACTTCTTTAAAAGGTAAACCACGTAGTCACTCATGGTTTTTAGTAAAATAATCAATAGATAAATAGAAAACCTTGGTCTGGGGTTTACTTGCACGATGTAGGACTTTTTATTTTAAAAGAGATCCCTTGATTTTTTTTTTGACTCATCTGTGACTGTGGGTGATGGATGCCAGTGATAAAATTCACCTAAGCTAGGCTGCAATCTATGCACAGAAATGCTCTGATGAGAGCAGAGCAGCATGATTTTGTACAATTCAAAGTGAAAATGACATACAGGTTCAAAGAAAATAAAGTTAAAGAAAAAGTTAGGACCATCTAGGATTGTCTACAATACAATTTCTTGAACGGGAAGCTAGATATGCTGGCAGGCTGGCAGCCACTGTACTGAACTCACAGGAACAAACAGACACTGTGATATCAGCCACTAGTAACCAAAGGTAAACTTACCTCGACTGAACCCCTTTGCTTTACACAATCAGCCATGTGGAGTGAGAAGTCTAAAATATCCCCGCTGATTCAAGACCCTTCCTTTTTTTTTTTTCTCCTGGCGCAAAGATTCAAGACACTTCTTTAATTATTCTTCTCGATCACCACTCTTATTCTAATTCATTTTTATAATGGCCCAATCAATGAAGTTCAATACTCATCCCACACCCAAACAAAAAGAAACATTCTTATTCGTCTTCTTTTACCTCTTTCTTTGTTTGTAAGAAAGCAAGCCCTATCGTGTTGTAACTTGCAATATCTTGCATTTTATTTATACATCACTCATTGAAATCATAATTTTTTTGTACCATTTTGTGGCAAATGTTGGGTACTTTATGCGAAAACCAGTTTGATCATTCTCTTCCTTCCTATCAATCATTGTTTTTGCTTTGTGTAAATAACTTGTATTCCCAAATTTTAGTTGTTTAGCATTGAATCCTCTTCTGGGTCTGTGCCTTTGTGCTTTGCTTTCTTCTTCTGTATTCTTAATAGTTCGATTTCGGTGCAGTCTTTGATTCTGTTCTTTCTGCTCCCCCAGTCTCTGTTTTGCTTAGTTTATATTTGATTCTGTTTTCCAGATCGCTTGTTTAAACAAAAAAAATTGTTTATTGGCTAGTAAAGAAGAATAGTTTCTTCCAAGTTTAGAACTTGGGTCGATATTTTCAAGCTTCAGCAGCTGAAAGTATCCAACTTTAGCATCAAACCCATCTGTTAAAGCCACTACTTTGCTTCAAAACCAGTTTTCAACTCGTACCCTCCTTCTTTTAAGCTCCAAGAGCAAGTCTCTACAAGTGTTTTGCTGAAGGGTTTTATGGGGTTGTTGAAAGCTGTGGGCTTTAGAGGCCTTACTGTTGCCTTGTTGTTCTTCAATCTGCTTGTGGGTTTAGCGGTTGGCATTGGAGTGAACTGGGGAACTCAGTTAACACACCCTCTCCCACCAGCAAGAGTGGTGAAGATGTTAAAGGACAACGGGATTCAAAAGGTTAAGCTTTTCGATGCCGATTCTTCGATATTGAATGCTCTGAGCAAGTCTGGGATTCAGGTAATGGTAGGAATTCCCAATGAAATGCTCAATGCTTTGGCTAATAGTGTGCAAGCAGCTGAGAATTGGGTTTCCAAGAATGTCTCCTCACATGTCTCCAATGGTGTAGATATTAGGTAAATAGCACATCTTTCTCTCGTCCTTATCTATGCTATGTCACTATGTGCATAGATAATTTCCTTAATTTCCTTATTTATTTTCCGAACATGTGAATGATTAAGCCTGAACCTTAGTTTATAAGATAATTTCCTTGGTTTTAGCCTCTATGCAAATGAAGCCGTTTACGTGTGTGTGTGTGTGTGAGCAAAAGATGTATGTATTGATAGGGAAGAGTATTGGCATTAAAACAAGTGTTTAATGAATCTATGTATTGATGTGTGTTTGGAGAGAGAGAGAGAGAGAGAGAGAGAGAGAGAGAGAGAGAGAGAGAGAGAGAGAGAGGGTGTTATTTTGAAGCTATTCACTTCTTGGTGTACTTTGGCCAATATATGCCCAAACTGCTTCTAGGAAATTCAAATTATTCAGCTGCTATTTAATTCACTCTTCTTGATCAAAAGATGATCTGGAAAAGCGACAACCTTGTTCATTTCGTCTAGCTAGAGTCTTCTTTGATTTGTCCTTGGCATTGAGTGTGAATTTTTTTCTACCATTTCTGATAATGTGGTTCAGTTCATTTGCATCTCCATATGAAAGTAGATCTGTATCACATGTTAGCAAACAGGCTTGTATTGAAACTTCAGCAAAGTTCCCAACTTCTTTCAGAAGAGTATTCTGAAATGCTTGACGTGTTACCAAAAGTAGGACTTCTCTTAACTAGAAGGTGTTCTTCTGCTTCATTGTTAGTTGTTACTGTTTTTGTCATACTAGTTTTCCAGTTCTGATCAAATGTGCAATCTACGTCTAATTTATATCTTACCTATTTCATACATTCTCTGCAAGGTATGCTGCAGTGGGAAATGAACCATTGTTGTCAACGTACAATGGAACCTTTCTTCCAACAATATTTCCTGCCCTTCAGAATGTCCAGTCAGCTCTCATAAAAGCTGGTGTGAGCAATCAGGTTAAGGTCACTATTCCCCTCAACGCCGATGTCTATGACAGCAGTGGCTCGGATATGCCTTCTAATGGTGACTTCCGACCAGACACCAAGGATCTCATGGTGGAAATCGTCAAGTTCTTGAGTGACAACGGCGCTGCATTCACAGTCAATATCTATCCCTTCATAAGCCTCTACAATGATGCCAACTTCCCTGCTGACTATGCCTTTTTCAATGGATACTCAAGTTCCATTAATGACAACGGAAAAATTTACAACAACGTATTTGATGCAAACCATGACACCCTTGTATGGGCCTTGCAGAAAAATGGATTTGGAAACTTGTCCATTATAGTAGGAGAGATCGGTTGGCCTACAGATGGGGACAGAAATGCAAACTTACAGTATGCTCAAAGGTTCAATCAGGGGTTTATGTCCCATATCAAGAACAATGCAGGCACCCCAATGAGACCTGGCCCTGTAGATGCCTACTTATTTAGCCTTGTTGATGAAGATGCCAAGAGCATTCAGCCAGGTAACTTTGAACGCCATTGGGGGCTATTTTACCTTGATGGAACACCTAAATATCAGCTCAGTCTAGGCACGACAAGCTCAAATGGATTAGTAGCAGCAAGCGGCATACAATATCTGGACAAGAAATGGTGTGTTATGTCACCGTCGGCGAGTCTTGACGATCCACAAGTGGCACTAAGTGTGAGCTATGCTTGTGCAAATGCTGACTGCACCAGTCTTGGATATGGAACTTCATGTGGAAATTTGGATATTCGTGGAAACATTTCCTATGCATTTAACAGTTACTATCAGATAAATAATCAACTGGACACTGCCTGTAAGTTTCCAAACCTTTCGGTCATCACCACGAGTGATCCATCATCTGGAGACTGCAAGTTTAGGATCATGATCCGATCATCTTCTTCATCTGCTTTGAATGCCGGAGCTGGTTCTGTTGAAAAGCCTAGTTGTTTAATTCTTTTTGTGTTAGTGTGTGTGTTCGTCTTTACACTGCTGTGATTTTTAAGGCTTTTTTTGTACATTATTAGTCTCAAATAATGTATTCACTACGCAAGGTTTTCAAGCATTGTTTGGGCTGTGTGAGCTTGATCTGTATATGGGAAGTAAATATTTACAGAGACAGCAAGTTTGGACTTGGACAATTTATATACGCCAATTTCTTTATTCATAGCCTGCCTCAAAATCAGAAGGAAAATATCAATAATTGCTGACAAGCTCACATTTCTCATTAGGTTTTAGAACAGTTTACCTAATGAAGTTTCTATTTCATATATATACAAAAAAATTGTGGCGTAATCACTGAAGCCAACAAATAAGCAAAAAAAAAAAGGGCGCAAGTTAAAAATCTACCTATAAATTGATGAAACTAGCCTCGTCTCATTGGTGAATAATTCATAAAGCCCCAAACAAAGAAACAAATTACCCATCTGGTAAACTGCTAACACCAATCAAATCGAGTTTAGATAATTTGTTGACGAGGATTTCACATGGACCTCCATACTGCTCAAGTTGTCTATGAAGGGTGAATCGAGTTTAGATAATTTGTTGATGAGGATTTCACATGGACCTCCATAATGTTACCCTCCATTTGGACTCATGTGGAATTTGGATGCTCGTGGAAACACTTCCTATGCGTGTACGGTGTACCACAGTAGCCCATCAGATAGATATTCAACTGGAGAGTGGCTTTAAGTCCCAAACCTTTGTTAGTAAGAATAAAGAGCCTTTGGTAGTTTGTTTCATGTGTTCTGCTGACTCTTTGTGGCTTTTGCCTTCTATCTGTATTTCTATTCCCTGTTTTGGGATCTTTTGGAATACCACATGAATTTCAGATAAAAAAAAAAAGAATAAAGAGCCATCAGCTGGAGACTGAAGTTAAGGATCGTGATCTGAACATTTTCTTCGAGAGTGGAATGCAGACCAGGGTCTCTTGAAAAGCCTGGTGGTGTAATCAGGGCTGGCCTTTTTGGGGCCGAGGAGAAGCATTAAAATGGGACCCGATGAGCATTCTAACACAGCATATATTGGTGTAGCAAAAATACCGCAGGCCCTGAAATCTCACAAATTTTGCCTTGTTAACTAACAACTGCAGTTTTCCCAATAAAACAAAGCAACACCAAAGTTGGAAATACCCTCATATGTAGCTTTGTTAATTCTGCCCTCGTATGTATATTATGTATATGATAAATAAATAAAAGGGTCGAAAAGGTGAACCTACCAGATTCTTGAAATTGAATCATTTGGACATTCTCGTTTGATGCTTCCGAAGATAGTCTCTGGATCTTATATCAGCCTGCCTCCATATCAGAAAGAAAATTGGAGCTTTAATATAATTTCCCCAACATTGTACATTACATTAATTAAAGAAATAAAGCAATGATACTCCGTGGTTCTAACTCGGGAAATGTCAACATCACTAAATGGCCAGCAAAAGATTGTAGCAAACAGACAGATAACACAGCATGCCCTCCCTAGACTGCCTGTAACTTCACTATATAGAAAATATTCATTTCACATCTAATAACTAACCGAAGAACTATATTAGAGATTAGAGACACAGGGCATCTAAGCATCGAGAGAAGGCTATTATATCCCTACTTAGTTTATACGCTCAAGTTCAATTAACAGGTCCAAAATATTACTGGGGAGTGGCCATAATGAATATGAAGCCGCTCAGAGCACTCGAACAGTTCAAGTTTTCACCTGCCGAATAGGCTCCGGGACACGAAATTTGGAAGTTATTTTTACAATCCTGATGGTAGTATCAAGTGCTATACGGTGACCAACTGAAATAAATATAGGCTTCAATGAGCCACCACTAGATCTCACTGCCTGGAAAACAGAAACAGAATGGAGACACGGAATCAATTGAAACAGAGAACACAAGACAAAGTGCAAAAGAACTTCCAGCAAAGGGCACAATTACATGTTTATTACCCACTTTTTTATCAGAGTATATGTCCATATTGTTTGGATAAACTAAAAAGTGCTGCAAAATGATCTTTAACTTCCTTATATTATTGCATGCCAGCCTCTGAAGATTCCCATCACAGTTTAAATACCATACCACATTGTCAAAAGATTTAAACAGTTTTGAGAGGAGAAATGAAGCTTATAAGATTCTTACCACTCCCCATATACGCCCAGAGCATCCTTTCAAAGTAACAAAATCTTGAGCGTAGTCTTCCTTGGCTTTAAGAAGTTGCATCACACCAGATAGTGTTAGGCCATCCACATGGTGAAGCTGAATTGAATATATATCAAGAGAAATTTCTAAAAGTCAGGCAAGCAGGGACAGCCCAAATCATCAAAGTTGATGGATGTAGTTACTGTCAGTATTTACATTTTTTCCAATCCCAACAGTAGGTAGATTTGCCAGAATGCCAAGGTGACAAGCCAAGCCAAAACCTACAAAAGAAACTCTACATTTTAAAAATATTCTCCAGTTGAGTAAGGAAGCTAAATGCTTTTAATCACAACTCAAGCTAAGGACAGAACGTATCGTCTAAGTTATGAAAATGGAACTAACAGGTTCCAAAATGATCTCTTGAGAATGTAGAAGCTTTCCAATTGTGAAGTGAGCAAAAGATTCACTAGATTCACTAGACCTAAGAGTGTAACCTACCCATATTTTCAGCAACTCCAGACCTTCAGTCCCATCATAGCGCTCAAATTACATTAAAAATTAAAGTAAATAAACAGGAAAAGGCTTCATTTACAAAGGGCAAGCATCTATTCTATGGGGATTTCTGTCAAAGGACTTGCCTCGAGGATGAAGTATTCCATTTCCATCTACCATTAGCAGCTGTTATCATTAAAGATAATTATTGTTATTTACTCGAACTCTAAAATAAAGCAGAGTAAAATTACAAAACACACAGAACAGTTTGCAAGTCACCAACTTGCCAGATTTGGCATAAGGTTAATATTCTCTAATATATCTAAGGTAAGTTAAGAAAAGTTTATACGTAAACATGAAAAACCAAAACCAAATATTAAAGCTTTCAAGAACATAAAATTATTCATGTAGAGAGATGAAGCACAGTGAAAGGGAACCAAAAACAAATGTAGTAGGAACAGATCACCTGTGGATATAAAGGATTAGCATTGGTTTTCATTTTCTCCAAAAGCTCAAGAAGCACTGGGGCCTAGATCAACATAGAACAATCAAATACATCAAACATTCAAATCACTGGCATATCAAATTCAAATACTTGCCCCTTTCTTATTACTTTCTCAGCTTCTGTGATCAAAATATTGTTGAAACATGAACATCAAGATAAACCAATGAAAAAAGAAATGGACCTCTCTGAAAGCAAGGAAGCCAGGAAGATAAGGGACATGGAGGGTGACAATAGAGAAGTCTTCATAGACAACTTGGAGAGTTTGGAGGTCCAAAACTACAAGAACCCCACATGCCATTGATGGGTCTTCCTTTGAATAGCTTATATCAACTCCACCCACATACTTCAACACCTCCTCCTCTTTCTCCATTGACCTTCCTGTAACAGCTAATCTCCATGTGAAATCATCTTCTGCAATCAACTTTTTCTTCAGAAAATCCTGGGTCCTGAAATTTTCACCACGATCGTGTCAAAATTGAATTGAAATGAGAATGTGTGTGTAGCAGTTGTGATGACCTTATCGTTCTGCTTACTCTATCCAAGTTTTATGGTCTACGGAAGAAGAAGAAGGTGATGTCTCTATCGAGGCTTGTTCATGGGATTGCTCTTCCATGTGAGTATTATAGATTTGCAGTGCACATAACCTTGCTGTGCGTTTATGGCTCTATGGAGCTCCACTGATCACTGGCAAGATGGAACCTTTCGACTGAGATGTGGCCTTCATTACCCAAAAGGTTTTATGATCTACTAAAATTTGACCCCACTTCGTTTTTTGGGGACAAAATTGAGCCCACTTAGAGATCACAATTTTTAGTTTTTGGGCCTAGATCCTTTCTTCTATTATATTCTAGGCGTAACTGTCAAAATTGATCGTGTTTTTACGTCATCGGTCAATTTAGTCCAAGATGATCAATTTGACCAATTTAGTTCATGTGTTTTGTATCTATTAATTAATTACTGTGTTCATTCCGTCAAAATTCCATTTAAACTAATTTTAAAAACCTGCAATTTAATTAGGGTATTGATTTTCTCACTTCCTCTTGTCCACTTATTCTATCTCTTAATGATAATTATAAAAGTATTAAAAAATAAAAAAAAGTGTATATGGACAAAAAATAAGTGAGAAATTGATAACATTCAAATTCGTAAAGTGTTGTGGTAAATTTTTGGTCAGTAAAAACATGTCGTAAGTGATGTGGTAAATTTTGTTTTCTGTTAAAAATAATAGTAAAAGAGAAAAAATGCTCCTATAAAAATAAAGCAATCACAGAACGGGTCAGATGACGCCCGGTTGACGTGAACGCCGGTAGGGTAGGGTTCCAAATTACCGGGTCGGGTTGTTTCCGGAACTTTCCGATTCGACCTTTCCTTTTCGCACTCGTTTCTCCTCCACTATAAAATCGAACGCACACTGCGCAAGAACAACTTTCGTTCCTCTTTCAATTTTTTTTTGTTTTCTCTCCATCTCTTTCGCTCCGCAAACTCCAAAAACCTATAAAATTATAAATAACACAAACCCTGAAAATCCAATTCAAAAACATTAACGTACATAAAACACACAAACACAGAAATATTCAATTTCAATTGTTAATCCATTCGCGACTCTCTCTCTATACAAATTCATCTGTCTCTGTATTCGATAGCATATGGAGGCGGCCATGGATGAGCAGCCAACCTTAGGGCAAGGGCAAGCCCAGCCACCAGCGCCACCTCCACCGCCTCCGCCAGCGCCCGAATCCCAATCTCAAGGAGGCGAGGACGAAGACGACGATGAAGAAGAGGAGGTTAAGAATGAAGACGACGAATTGGTTGCCAAGGCCCAGAAGCTTATGGACAAGATCACTTCCGCGCCGGATAACCCTAATCCTACTGTTCTTCACGCACTTGCCTCCCTTCTTGAAACTCAAGAGTCTCGGTTCGAACCGTTTCTTCTTTTGAACTTTTGTTTTTGAAGCTTTTTTATGTAAATTGATGCGAATTTATTCAAGAATTGCCACTCAGTTCGAGTTGTTGTTGTAATGCTGTGCTTTGTGTTTTCATCATTTGCATTTTCTTCTTATTTTTCTTTTCCTTTCAATATTGAGTTTTTTTAAATAAAAAATTGTGACACGATTAATGACGATAAACTTACAAATTAAGAGGTTTTAGATTAATGATTTCAAAGGTATTGTGTGTGAATTTTATGGCTTTGTTGGCAATTGTATAATTATATATTTGCTTATTGTGTTGAAATTGGTGATAATGTGAATTTTTGGAATGCTCTTGCTGACTGTCATTTACACAGTCGACGTTTCATTTCCTTGTAAGCAATGCTTCTTCCTCTTTACTTAGTAATGTATGGCTTGCTGGTGGTAGGATTGGGTATCGATACTTGATATGTAATCTTGATAGGTCATGTAGGGCAGAAGATCACAGAAAATGTAAATTTAGTTTGAAGACCTTGTTTGGACTTTGAGTTGCTGTAGTCAAAGGTAGGGTTTAAGGACGACATGGAATGTCATTGTAGTTATATCAAGAGGTTAGGAATTTTCAATGGCCAAGGCGATGGATGTGTTCAAGCAACTGTCTTTAGGATGCCAAGTCGATGATTTTAAAATTTTTCTGGTGCGCGGGAATTATTATTCTTAGCATAGGAAAGACAGTTGGCAGTCAGTTCACTAGATGTATTAACTGTCGACTTTGGAAGTAACTTTGGGGGATTGCTTGAGTGGTTAGATATAGATTTTGTCTGAATGGATGCAACTTCTAATAGCTAGGTAATAATACTTCAGAATCTGAAGTTCTAATATCTTTTTTGGTGGGCATTATGATTGTTCTTGTTTATTTAGAATGCTTTGTCTGGTTATATATGTACTGTAAGGTGACTTTTCACTGTTTGTTTCGTTGCACAAGTCTCTGATCTTGTATTTATACATTATATGTGGCTGATTATTTATTTACATTGTTAAACTTTGTTCTGATAAATAAACTCTGAACCTTACCTAAAGAAGAAAAAACCATCTTTTAATGCAGATACATGGAAGAGAATGGTCATTCATCCAGCAATGCTCGTGCTTCACATAACATCGGACGGCTAGGGAACTTAGTCCGGGTAACTGGTTTTGTCGTGTGGTTACCTTTTGTAATTTTTATGTATTTATTTTTGGGATGGTTGCTAAAATGTTTTCATATATGTGGATTATATCTTGTTTGCAGGGACCAAGCTTTTGTTCTAATTTTTTTCTCTTTTTGCCAGGAACATGATGATTTCTTTGAATTAATATCTTCAAAGTATCTGTCGGAAACAAGATACTCTGTTGCTGTCCAGGCAGCTGCTGGAAGGCTGCTTTTAAGCTGTTCACTAACCTGGATTGTAAGATTGTTGTTTTTCTGATACCATTGAGTTTCATTTATTTTATTTGTTCCTTAATGAAGATGATTATTATGGCTTATTATCAATCTGACATGCGTGAATGTGATACAGTATCCTCATGTTTTTGAAGAAGCTGTTTTGGAGAAAATAAAAGATTGGGTGATGGATGAGACTTCCAGCTCATCTGTTGAATACCAGGATTGGAAGCATGATTTGGGGGGCAAGGAGGTCTCAGATTTTGAAATGCTGAAGACCTATGCTACAGGACTTCTTGCTGTATGTTTGGCTGGGTATGCTCCTTCTTTGTATCTTTATTTTCCCTTCCTCATTTTATTCTTATTGACTAGTTTGTTTCACATATCTTAATTTTTATTGAAAATAGTGGTGGTCAAGTAGTGGAAGATGTGTTGACGTCTGGATTGTCTGCCAAACTTATGCGTTATCTTCGTGTGCGTGTTTTGGGGGAGTCAAGTATTACTCAAAAGGATTCTAATCATTTAACAGAGAGCAAAAATACCTTGAATGCTGTTTGTGTAAGAGGTAGAGATGAAGGTCGGGGTAGAGTTCGGCAGGTTGTGGAAACAACTCATTTTGATGATCCAAGGATAACAGATGAGAGATGTTTAGATGACCAGAATGTTGATGGTGGAGAACCACCTGATGGATTGGCTGAGGGGTTTGAGATCCATGATGCAGATGGAAAGATGAAATTTGGAGATTTTGATGAAAATGTGAGAGACGACTCCTCAAGGCGCAGACCCAACCGTGGATGGACAAGATCTAGAGGGAAGGGAAGGGCAAATGAAGGTGCTGTAGAGAATGAACAGCTCTTGACCTCACCAGGATCTGGTAGTAGGTTGTTGCAGGGACGGAGCTTTAGAGACAGGGCTGCATTGAAAAATTCCGATGTGAAAAAAATACCAGATTCTAGGAAGTGTTTGGACCGGAATACAGATGTTTCCTATCTGGAAAGGGAGGATAACGATGACTGCTTCCAGGACTGCAGAGTTGGATGTAAAGATATCTCTGACTTAGTAAAGAAAGCAGTTAGGTCTGCAGAAGCTGAAGCCAGAGCAGCTAATGCACCTGCAGAAGCCATCAAAGCTGCTGGTGATGCTGCTGCTGAAGTTGTCAAAACTGCAGCTTTAGAGGTACAAAAGCTGTTATTGTCACTCTCTGTAATGGTTTTTGTTTAGTTTTCACTTCTTAGTTGTTTGCCGCTTAATTATGCAGGAATTCAAAATGACAAATAATGAAGAAGCTGCCGTTTTGGCCGCTTCAAGAGCGGCATCTACTGTCATTGATGCTGCCAATTCAGTTGAAGTTTCAAGGTAGGTATTTCATTTTTTTTAAATGCAAAGAAGAGGTATATGGTACAGATACTTGATGAATCACATGCTGTGTTATCAACTTTTTTTTATGGCTGTACTGCCTTAGAATAATACTTCTTTACTGTGGGTTGTAATTCTTCCTATGGATTGGTGGCAGGAGCTCGAGTAGTATCAATGCCGAATCAATGACATCAAGCAGCACAGAACCAGAAATTCATGAAGATGCTGAAGAATACTTCATTCTTGATGCCGAGTCCCTTGCACAGTTGAGAGAAAAATACTGTATTCAGTGTCTTGAGACTCTTGGAGAATATGTTGAAGTTCTTGGACCTGTACTGCATGAAAAAGGGGTAGATGTATGTCTTGCATTATTGCAACGAAATTCTAGACATAAAGAGGCATCAAAGGTTGCAATGCTCTTGCCTGATATAATGAAGCTCATTTGTGCTTTGGCTGCTCATCGGAAATTTGCTGCCTTGTTTGTGGATAGGGGTGGCATGCAGAAACTGCTTACTGTCCCTAGGGTTGCTCAAACCTATTTTGGCCTTTCTTCTTGCTTATTTACTATTGGTTCTCTCCAGGTAATCACACGTGGTGTGAAGTTGAGCTGTTAGAGACTAATTTCCCATTTACTTGCATCATGATAATAATATCCATCTAGTCTTCATCTTTTGTGATGACCAATTAATCTTTTTTCAGGGAATTATGGAGCGTGTTTGTGCTCTTCCTTCAGATGTGGTCAACCAGGTCGTTAAGTTAGCTCTTCAACTTCTTGAGTGCTCACAGGATCAAGCCAGGAAAAATGCAGCCTTATTTTTTGCTGCTGCATTTGTTTTCCGGGCAGTTCTTGATGCTTTTGATACTCAGGAAGGCTTACATAAATTACTGGGCCTTTTAAATGATGCTGCATCGGTCAGATCTGGAGTAAATTCTGGGGCATTAGGACTCACTGGTTCAGGATCACTTCGAAATGAAAGGTCACCTGCAGAGG